ACTTGTGTTGATTTGCCATAGTTAACAGCAGATAGGAAGCTAGGGGCTAACCACGGATTTTTTATTGACAAAATCTGTTTTTATCGCCCAATTTTAATGACATCCATAAAAAATTGAAAAAATCTGTATATATTGATTTTTATCGTTTAATATCGACTATAAACGTTTAATGTGCTGACGTCATTACCGATTCAAAAATTCTGGAAGTGGGTTTTGGTGGATCCTCAGGATCGTTTAGTACTGCTCCCGGTTCTGGAAGTGGATCCTCAGGATGGACCAGGGCATTGTCGAACCCAGTCTGGTCCATCCTGAAGATCCACCAAAACCCACTTCCAGAATCGGGAGCAGTTCTAAACGATCCTGCGGATGCACCAAAACCCGCTTCTAGAACAGTATGCATTCGTTAAAGCGAAAAAATTACTGCAAAAATCGGACAAAATCGACCAAAATGTGATCATATCGGAATTTATTTCTTTAAATGATAAAAAATGTTAAAGTCGGTCATTATTGGTTATTTTTAAAACCGTGGTTAGCCCTTAGATCGGAAGCCCCGATTAGCTCAGCCGTACTTGATACACAAAAATGTATGAAAATTACGTATCCCACGTATTTCGTTGGAAATGTTAATTTTGTTTTATTTTAGCTGTGACAATGTCGCTTTGCTAATAAAGAGACGAGATAATAATAGCTACTTTTATCGGTATATTGAACGAAGCGTAGATCAATAGAAGGAAGTAAAAATCCAAATATTCACATAATTCAAAGATTTTATGAATTAAGATTCATATTACGCATTTACGGCATGCGACATTAAATCGTTTAATTGAAAACCGAATTCACTTAAATTGGAAACGATATCGCTTGCTTGAATTCTGGAATGTTTCTATCCAGGGGCCTATTTTATCTAAGTGTTTGACCGTGGTCTTTGACTGCGCTGGGAGCCAATGAGATTTTAATAACGCATCGCTCATCATCGAATCATTCACTCAGCCCTGTATTGCTCACAATACAAATTCTCTATATCATGCGATTTGTAATAAGCGGGGTCCACATAAATCGAACGTATGTAATCACTATGCAGTGTACACTGCGAAATTATTTTCGTATATGGATGTATGGATGGATTTTGCTACGAAGAAATGCGTAGAAATCTCGTCAAATACACGAATCTTCCTGACTCAAAACCACGAAATTTTTCGCAAACTTGAAAACGTTCGTAGATATTACGAATTATAAACATTCGTACACAAACTTTCGTGCAATTTACGAGAAAAAAAACTACGAAAATAATTTCGCAATGTGTTATGCCAAAGATGTATCTAGAAAGTTCAAACGTATGGCAGGTAGCGCATATTTTTTTTATGGATTTATGGAAAGTACGGGTAGTATTATACTCGTCGCTCAGGCTGTTTTTTCAGCCTATTGCGAGACGCCCGCTTGGGTGGATTCTTTGCACACCATTCGTCGATTGTGGAGGGCCCATTCGTTGTGATGTGCCCTGTGCCTGTAATCCAGTCAGGGTCGGGCTCCACCACGTCACTAGTGGGCCACATCATCACATACAACATTTGGCACGCTCCGCATCCATTCCATTGAGCCATTTTCTCTTGAGTTTTTCCGATGGGGACATGCTTCTGATACTGATATACCGATGTATTCACCGATATGGGACAACAACCTAGCGCTAGGCGCCCCATCTTACGTGCATTAATTGTACTCATCTTCTGTATATAATACACGGGATATAATCCACAGGCCTCCACATGGGTCGTAGTCTCTCAATTCACACTCCCATTGATCAAACCAATGACATTTTGAAGAGAAAAGATTTTCGACCACTATGCGATTCGAACCAATACAACGCTAGCACGCTAACCAATACGATATAGCTGGGTTTTAGGTAGCGCATATTCATTTTGGTGACTATTTGTTGCTAATTTCATCTCGAAAAAAAAACAATCCTTTGACGTGACAAGATTTTTTTTTTTATTTTACTGAATAGAGCAGGAGTTGTTTGCAGGTAGTTTCAATAGAACAAAATAAATCTTCGAAAAATACATTGAAATAACAATGATTAAACTGAAAATATCAATGCCAATTTCCATTATCCCTATCGTATACTCGTCGTTTTGTAGGATCCGAAAGTGTTGCATATGCAGTGTTAATTTTTTTAAATAGCTCTTCCTCTTGAGTTTTCACATTTCCGGGTGAATCTGCATGCTTATCTGGGTGGTGAATCAAAGCCAGTCGCTTGTAAGCCCTTTTGATCTCCGCTGAGGAGGCAGTCGTTTCGATTTCCAATACATCATAATAGTTAGCGGAGTGAGCACGTTGCAACGCT